TGTGGTTCATTGTGCACATCACCAGGAAGGTTTCTCGTCCACCTAAGCCTTCTCAGTGTCTTTGCGAGTCAACCATAGTCAGCTGGCGTTGTAGAGCTAAAAGAAATACAGAAGAGGAACAAGGGGAGACCACTCAGCCCCTCAAACCTGCTCCTCCCCTCAATAAGATCATGGCTGATATGATTTTGACCTCAATTCTACATTCCTCCACAGCCCTGATACTGTTTCAGTCAAATACCGTACTTGGAAGTGTGCAGAGAAAGCTATCCTCAACTGAATGCAGACACCTCCTGAGCACCACGTTTGCTTCTTCAGTCAGGCAGCTTGACTCTGTTTGCCTGATGAAGCTCTACAGATGCCAGGAACCCTCTGCCCCTTGGATATCTGAGTGGTGCAGTAGCGTGCTATTCGACCATGGAGCCATTGGAAGGTGCCTGGCTCAATCCTGTCTGCAACCTGAATTTTAATATCTGTGTGCTTTCTTGCAGTCACTGGACTGAAAGCAAGAAATGGAGGTCCTTTTGTTAACATTTCCCTTCTGTTGTTCCATTGTTGCTCGATCTGAGGCCAGCTCCTTTATCAGAGCTGGGTAGCACACTGGGGGGCTTTCTGAGTCGTAGGTCTCTGTAGAATATCGGGCACATTACCGGGGCGTTCGAGGAAACTGGGGGGGCGGGGGGGGTGGGGAGCTACCTCCAGCGGTGGCTGTGAACCAGCGTTGGGATTGACGCTTCGAGAAGTGACGGGGATAGATTGGCGAAATCGGGACCATCCCCCTGAGAGGAGAGAGGGTATTAATTCCCAAGAGGGTGACCGATCATCGGAGGCTGTGCAGGAATGTAGAGTTGAGGTTAAAATCAGGTCAACCACTGGATGGCAGAATGGGCTCGAAGGCCAGGAGACTGGAAACATTGGAGCAGGAGTAGGCCATTCAACCCATCAAGCTCCATTCAATATGATCATTACCGATCATCGAGCTCAATACCCTAATCCTGCCTTCCCTCCATATCTCTTGATCCCTTTAGCCACAAGAACTCCTTCTTGAAAACGCATAATGTTTTGGCCTCAATCACTTTTTATGGGAGTGAATTCCACAGGTTTGCCACTTCATGTTCTAAGAAAATTTCTCCTCATCTCAGTCTCAGAAGGATTACCCCTTATCCTTAAACTAATACCTCAGGTTCTGGACTCCCCCACCATCGGAAACATCCTTCCTGCATCCATCCTTGTCTAGTCCTGTCGGAATTTTACAGGTTTCTAAGATCCCTCCCTCATTCTTCTAGTCTCCAGTGAATACCATCCTCACCAACTCAATCTCTCTCCTTAAACAAGCGGCCCACTCTTGTCCCTTTTGTATGTTCAGAGAAGATATGGCGGAGGGCATTCACAATCAGGAGAGCTCTGGACAAGAATCAATAGAGTGAAACTGTTCCCACAGATGGAGTGGTTGTGAAGTAGAGAGTGGGCAGTGAGAAGGTCAGAGGTGACATGAGGGAAAACATTTTTTGCGCAGTGAGTGGTTGGGATGTCTATGGTGGTGGCAAGAGACATGTTCAGTTTTGGCCCTGGAAGGAGATCCACTGGATCATTGAGAAGATTGTCGGGCAAACTGGGAAAAGGGCAGGGGAGGGGGAACTTGCTGCCTCAACGTGTTTTACAAGGATTCAATGATACTCTTCCCCATGAAACAGAAAACCACAGGGCTCCTTTCCATCACTTACCAACCTCGATTCTTACTCAGTGCGATCCCGGGCCGGAATGCCGTATCTTGGCATCCTCTGTGATGACCACCTCCTGTGGCATTGCTCCCAATGAGTGTGAAGACTTTGTTAGGGAAAGATCTGAAAATGGGAAAGACTTTCCCATTTTCTGTAATAATGGGTCGGCAATTTCCAATGCCAGTTTTATGTCAACATGAACAGTTGCCCTGTTGTTCCATTGTGGCAGTCAACGATGGATAGGTTGTGCTGCAAGCAATTTCAATGCACCCTGTTTTGTTGTACAGCTAAGATCATAGAATCATGGAATCCCTATGGTGTGGAAACAGGCCACTCAGCCCGACAAGTCCACACCACCCCTCCGAAGAGCATCCCATCCTGACCCATTTCCCTACCCTTGCATTTTCCTGTGTCTAACCCAAACATCCCTGGACACCACGGGGAATTTCCAATGGCCAAACCACCTAAGCTGCACATCTTTGGGCTGTGGGAGGAAACCGGAGGAAACCCACACAGACACGGGGAGAATGTGCAAACTCCACACAGACAGTCGCCCGAGGGTGGGATTGAACCCGGGTCCCTGGCACTGTGAGGCAGCAGTGCTAACCACTGAGCCACCATGTTGCCCTAAATGTATCCTTTTGGGCCACAGAATTTCATGGATGTTAGGTGCAGGCTGAGGGTGATAAAGCATTAATTGACAAACTAAACAGCAGCAAAGGGGATTGGGTATAGAAGGCTGGGGGAGGCCATTTGGCTCCTTGAACCTGCCCTGCCATTCAACTGGGTCATTGCTGATAAGACCATAAGAGTAGGAGCAGAAGTAGGCCTTTCAGCCCATCAGGTCTTCTGTGACATTCAATGAGGTCATAGCTGATCTGACAATCCTCAACCCCACTTTCCTCCTTCTCCCCATAATCTTTGATTCCCTTAACGATGAAAAATCCATTCATTTCATGCTTGAATAAACTTAATGGCCCAGCCTCGATAACTCTCTGCGGTAAAGAATTCTTCAGATTCATGACCCTCAGAGAGAGGGAATTCCTCCTCATTTCTGTCCTAATCTTGTAACTCAATGCCGTTTTCCTGTACCATCACCATATCTTCTTAATCTCTTAAATATTGAGAAATCTATCGATCTCCGCCTTGGACATACTCAATGACTGAGTGTTCTGGAGTAGAAAATTCCAAGGATTCACCACTGCCCAACTGAAGAGGTTCCTCCTCATCTCAATCCCAAATGGGAAACCTCATCTGGTGTTTATTTTAAACCAAATGCTTCTGCTGCCAGGAGTGTAAAGTCTGAGGATTATTAAACGTGAGAAATGTAAATCTGGGTTTAGTTGAGAGAGATTTGTCATGTGCAGATGTAAAAGTATAGCCAAAAGAAAAGGGGGCGTGTTTGCTTTGATCCTTGTTGTCTTTTTACGCAGTGAACACTTTGAAATTGACGGTTGTGATTTGTTGCAGGCGGGGTTATTTCGCACAAAGAAGGAAATTGTTGGCAAAACTCAATAGGTCTGGCAGCACCAGTGGAGAGAACGCAAAGTTAACGTTTCGAATCCCGGACTCGAAATGTTAACTCTGCTTTCTTCCCAACGATGCCGCCAGACCTGTTGAATTTCTCCAGCAATTTCTGATTTTGTTTTGGATCACCAGTGTCTGCAGTTCTTTGCTTTAGTTTACGGGATTATTGTGTCATGCTTTTGGGGGACAGTAAGTAAAGAGAAGACTCTATCGACTGGAAGGACAAGGGTAGCAGCTTCATGGGGCCATTACAGCCAGCAAGTTCCCCTCCACATCACTCAAATAACGACGTGGAAATATATCGCTGTTCAGAGAACATAGAACACAGAACATAGAACACAGAACATAGAACA